TTTTTTCCAGAGTATACACACACACACACACACACACACATTACCAATTTAAATTTCGATTTTCTTATTTTTTTCATTCATTTAATAATTATAAATAATTACATTTATTTTTTTCATGTATAATATTTATAGAAATAATTATAAAATAATACTACAAATATTTATTATAAATATCGTTTAAAATATATTTAATCTATATTTTAATAATATTTTGAATAAAGATTTTGATACTTTTTCTTTATGTATATATAAAAAATATCGATAAAATATTTATATAATATTTTTAAAAAATAATTCGAAATAAATATTTATAAATATTTATCAAATTTAGCTTATTTATCATAAAATATTTATCATAAAAATTTATCATAAATATTGTGTGCTGTCTGGGGAGACGCTTCTAATATTGATAATTAAATGAAATCTTTGTTGAAGATTTCCAGGTGGGTTACTTACGAATCCGTAAAAATTTATATGAAAATCCATATAGGAATTCACATAGGAAATAAAAATCCTTATAGAAATCCATATGGTTATCTATATGGATTTTTAAACAGCATATACATTCCCACATGGATTTTTATTTTCCATATAGATTACTATATCGATTTTGATTTTTCATATGGTTTCCTATATGGATTTTGAATTTCCAGGTGGATGCGTATATGGATTTTGATTTCCTACATGGATTCCTATATGGATCCCTATGGATTTTAAATTTCCTGTATAGATTCCCATGGATTGCTGTGGGAATCCACCTGGAAATTTTTAACAGGGTATGAAATAAATACGTGGCTTTAAAATAAGATGCACTATATATATACAAGAGGTGTATTCGATAAGAACTGGTGTATTCTTAAAAAGGCACCATTGCCGATATAAAAATATGTGTGTTCATTATATTTCATTTCTCTATAAGTATGCAAAGTTTTATTAAGATCAGCGAGTTGCACCTCCGTAGAGTTCCTTGTTAGTTAGAAAGACTCTTTAAAATACATAAAACTTTCTCATAAACAACTTTTTGATACAACAAATATTTTTAGAATTTTTGGGTTGTTATACTTTACCTGAGCCACTTTGTATATAATTTTACACACACACGTACACACACGCACGCGCGCGCGCGCGCACACACACACACACACACATATATGTATAAATTAAAGAAAAAGATTGGTTCTTTGAGAAAATTCCTAAGCAGATTCCTGAAAAATTATATTTTTTATAAAATTAAAATAGATATTTTTGATCGAAAAATAAATACATGCTTTATTTTTTATTTTTATCAAGTTTTATTAAGTTTATTTAATGAATAACTCAATTTTACTGTTCGAACTTTATTTTATTATATGAAAATAAAAAATTATAGTATAAAAATAAAAAAATACAATAATTATTCATTATCATATTATTTTACGTCCAAGCAGCATATTTTTGCAATTATATATTGTATTCTTATAATTTAAATACAATTGAAAAGTTCTTCTATCTTCATAAATCGGGCAAAAACTACATCTTTTAGGCTTCTATAGTTTATTGTCCGGAATAATATTTACTGAATTTTTTGGCTAAGACCCTTTTATCGAGAAACATTTTTATAAACATGTGTATTATGTTATATACAGGATGTCTGACTCATACCGCACCAAAGCTAATATATAGTTAGAATAGGTCGGAGTGAATAATGGAATCGGTGTCATTTTTTAAACAATCGCATAAAATTTTGAGTTATTAAATAAAATAGATGGGCTAATCAGAGCGCGGTAACGCGGCAGGCGGGACATACGGTTCGCCGCGGCTTGCGAAAAAAATAGACGATTGCCCGCAGGCCTATCACGTAGTGTCAGACCTAAGACATAGTTTCCATATTTGGGCCTATGAGATATGCCCGCGAGCAATCGTTCATTTTCTTCGCCGGCCCCGGCGAGCCGTATGTCCCGTCTACTGCGTCGCGCGGTTTTGATTAGCTTATCTATTTTATTTAATAACTCAATATTTTGTTATATAATATTGTCGTGTCCACTCGCGTTCAGACTCTTGTTTATAGAAAGATTAACAAAAGCTTTTATGTACAGCTTATTACAACGTTTACACAAGCAGTCAAACAGAATCTTTCGTGTCGCGGATAACACCGGTACATCCGTTATGCCCTAGGACTCGTATCCAAATCCCCCATCCTCGATTGACACCGAAATCATGGCAACCTGTTACTCTCCTGTCCAGCTGACAAGCTCTAGATCGATAATCGATTCCAAACGTTCCAAGCACGGGCGTAACAATATTTTATTTAATAACTCAAATTTTACGTGGTCGTTTAAAAAATGATACCGATTCTATTACTTACCCCGATCTATTCTAGCTACATATTATCTTTAATACGATACGAGTCAGACACCCTATATAGAATATGTAAAAAGGGCGGGATTCCGAAATATCTCGAAAAATATAAGTTTTATTAAAAAAATGTTTTAGATATAAAAGTTTAAAAAGATATATTTACAGATTTTATAAGTTTGACTTTAGGTCGCCAAGGTCAGGGCAAAGTTATCTTGAATTTTTTTAATTGAATCCCTTATTTTTATTACACATTCTTATATCCAAAAAAAATTCTATTATTTAGCGGGATCTATTTAATTCTAGAGGATTTTCCACTTATATACGGTCTTAAGAAGATAATCTAATATCTAAGAGAATATCCTATAACCATGACATATTAGATTTAAAATTGCAATCCTCTTAATGCTGAAGAAATTTCCACCTAAAATTTAACTTAGGAATTTAACCTAAATCAATCTGACTGTCAGATATTATTAAAAAAAAACTTATTCTCAAATCCGGACCAATATTCATCCAAATTGAAGGAAAAGAGCGTACTACTAGATAGCGGCGGAACGCCGTTTGCATTCGGGATTTACGTTTTTCTTCGTTCCAGAGAGAAAAAAATATTGAAAGCGCGATTTGTTAAAGGCCGAGACTCAAACCCAGATCTTTCGCTTGTTGGGCAACTGCTTTAACTACTGAGCTACCATGCTTCTTTCAGAAAATGTTTTATTTTATAATATTGCAATATATAATGGTGAATTCACTGCACTGTGTAGAATTTTCTCAAAATCGTGCAATAACTACAAAAGAGCTTCTCAACTTCTTTCTCACGATTCACTGCGTTACTGTCTTGTCTGCGTCACGGACGCAGGAAACAGCAAACGAGCAAACAAATACACATCGAAATGACTGACCAAAAGTAAATAAAACTATAGTATTTTTTTTAAAAGATCTCAAAAAGTAATACACATGTCCAAACAGCATCGTATCTTCAATAAGCGCGTATGCTGCTAATATTTTATACATCCTTTTCTTTTCGGATTCCTATTGCACAATTTTTTATTGAGGAATTTACTCTTGATTATAGTTTACATGTCCTCTCTTTTAAATAATGACATGTTAAACAGAAGAACACTTCATATAAGATGTTTTACTTAGAGGAGACGCTTAGAGGAATTCCCCGCTTACAAATAGAATTTTTTTTTAGGTGTATAACTCTTTTTGAGATCTTTTAAAAAAAATACTATAGTTTTATTTACTTTTGGTCAGTCATTTCGAAGTTATTGAGGTTTTTATGGTAAGATATTAAAGCTATTAGCTTATTAACCATAAACTGGTAAGATATTAAAACTAATAAACAAGATCGGTGATTGATCCAATTAATGAAGGCAAAATCGATAGTTGGTTCAGCCATTGAAGGTAAGATCAGAAGATGATCCAAACAATGAATGTAAAATTGCGATAGTTGTGAGGACGTCAAAATAAAAACTGATACTTGATTAGTATGTGATAATTGGCGTAGTAAACATATTCTACTGATATTTAAGCATCATAGTAATTCTTCAAACTGGCTACTATTCATTGTTTGACAATATACTATTCTATCATAAAATGATACGACGACATTTCCGATATAATCATTAAGAATAAACGTAGCTTTTTTTAAGGATTCGATGGTGAAAATTGTTTAGATTTCGTGGTTTTATTTTATATAGGGTGTCTGACACAAGACGTGATAACGCACGTGTATAAGTAGATTAGATTAAACTGAATAAAAAAATTCCTCTAGCACTTTTCAAACAACCAAATAAAATTTCGAGATATTAATTGAATTAGTAAAAGAAGATTAATAAATCAATAGCGCGACGCTGTGGGACGCACTCTATAGACACGAGTTCATATATGAACCGAAAATATATGACTTGACGGCCCTCAGTCCTTATCTGTTCCTTAACTTATCATCGTAAACATCAACCTAACCACTTATGCATCCATCTATACACACGTACGCACGCATACACACCCATATACATTCATACCCATACACACTCACACTCATATCTACACCATACATACCCACCCACGCACACAACACATATACATACATACACGAAAGAGATGTAAATCCGATTGAACAACCTCCGCGTAGTACACCTTAATTGGAGTAATGCTAATGCCAGCGGTACTGTAACTTTCAAGTTTTATTACTTAGAAAATAAATACATAAATAAAAGAATATAAATAAAAATAAATAAAACGTAAATAAAAGTAAGTAAAAGAAAAAATACGTTATTATAGTGTTTTGGAAAGTTCTCGAGATAAGCTATAAGAATACGTAATAAAAAATAGGAAGTTCCATTTAAAAAATCAATGTGACTTTATCCTGATCTTGGTAACGTAACCCAAGGTCAAACTAATGGTACCCTCTTATTTTCCCCATTGAATCTTATAACTTTCGTCTAAAGCATTTTTTTTTAATGCACTGTTTCTGAAATATTAGCCTGGAACGATTAAAATGGATCATCCTGTATATGTATATGATATTAAAATTAGTTATATTATTAATTAATATTATAAGTTTAATATTTAATTCTACTATATTCTTGCTATAAAATATCTGCATTTATAGAAACGTATAATCAGAAAAATGCTGCCATTGTTATTTACTTTTGTTATAGCTCAGAAGAGGGCCACGTAAAAATCAATCCTGATGTCCATATGGTCGGCCAGCACCGGGCGCAATTCAGTGTTTGGCGCGGAGAACGGCGGCGGAGTGATACTGCCCTCCTCGCACTTGCCGATTCACATACACGTGGCGCGCGAACATCTGCACAACGTTGACGGTCACTGCTTTCATAAGCGGTATCACAATTGTCAGGTCGGTAGATTGTCTGTTCTTGTTGATATTTGCAGCGGTAGCAGAGAATTATTTTCTTCTTATATTCTCTACACATATGCTGCAACTTGTATATTACGTATATTTCATTTTTCTATTCTTAAATGCACATATCATTTTATTGTATATTTATGTCCTTCATCGGTTTCGACATACGAAATTCGAGGCTTTTTATGATATACGGATTATGTATAGATGGCAGGTTAATCGGGAAAATTAATTGGAATATTAAAACAACCTTATTCAGATCAATTGTATTCTCGCGAGTAATCTATTGAAAAATACAAGACAATTTTATACTCTCTACAAAAGTAATGATATCAAGAGGTTTACGCCAAGTGCGAATGATTAATCATTTCAGTTTTTATTTTATATACTTTTATAAACATATGTGGTTTTAGCTATATAATATATTTATAAATTAAATATATTAGTAATATATTATTAAATAAAAAGCAAAATAATTAGAAAATAATGTTGAAAAAAATTATAATAACTTACACAAAAAGCACTTGGCGTGCCTTTTTTTAATACTACATCGATAATCAATATAATATTTTGATATATAATTATATTTTGATAGTTATTAAAATAAGAGAACTCATCTACCTATAAAAAAAGGCACGCCAAGTGCTTTTTGTGTAAGTTATTATAATTTTTTTCAACATTATTGTATTTCTCTAATTATTTTATTTTTATTTAATAATATATTACTAATATATTAATAATATATTTAATGTATAAATATATTATATTGTCAAAACCACATATGTTTATAAAAGTATATAAAAGTATGTAAAAGTAAAAACTGATATGATTAATCATTTGCACTTGGCGTAAACCTATTGATATCATTACTTTTATAGAGAATATAAAATTGTCTTATATTTTTCAACAGAGTATTCGTGAGGGTACAATTCATTTGGATAAGGTTGTTTTAATATTTTCTTAAATATCTTTTAGCTGAGTTTTTGTTGTAATTTATTTATAACGATTTTTTTTTAGTAAAGACAAATAATGCTAAGGCGTATACACTTGGCTTCTTTTTTTACTTTTTTTTTTAAAGTAATTTTGTTTTTATATCACATCATTTTTTACAAAATAATATTAATCACTAAAAATGAGTTTTTTTGTTAATAACTTTATACGTTGAACTTGGAAATATTTAGGTAATAAATATTTTGGTGTACATAAAAAGCAGATTCTTTAAATTTTATTTCAGAATAATTCATTTTTATAAAAAATATGTCTGTCTCTCCGTCTCTTTTTCTCTCTCTCTCTCTGCCTCTCCCTGCCCTCTCCCTCCCCCTCTCCCTCCCTCTCTCTCCCTCTCTCTCACTCTTTTTCATTATTTATTTTTTATTTTATTTACGTTATCATATTTAATTTTATTATATTTTATTATTTTATTATTTATTAATTTATTATTTTATTAT